TGTCACTAAGGAAGCTGGCTATCCACATGCTGAACAGTGAATCTAGACCCATATCTCTCACCATGTACTGAACCAAAATCAAAATGAATCAAAAACCTACATCTTAAAATAAATATTTAATTTGCTGGAAAGTAAAACAGGCAAAGCTCTTGGAGACAGTGACATAGGCAAGGACTATGACACGCACAGGACCCATGTTTGCAGCGGCACAACTCGCGTTCCCTAAACCTTGGGAGCAGCCTCTATGCCCATCCACAGATGGACAGATCGAGAAAATGGATCTGCACGCTACTCTGCCATAAACAGCAGTAAACTTGACTCGTGTAGGAAAATGGATTCACCTTGAGACCATCATGCCAAGTGAAAAGAAAAACGGGCACACAAGCGTAGATACGACATGGCTTCTTGTATATGAGAAACGCAAATTATAAATAAAGAGCAAAGTAAAAAGTAAATAATAGGGGGCTGGGGAGATGGTTCAGTAGAATAAGTGCTTCCCTGGCAAGCGCAAGGGCCTGAGTTCAATCCCCGGTACCTCCAAAAAAAAAGTAAATAATAGGGAATAGGGAGATCTTCCTCAGAGGGGAAGATCAGGGGAAGGGGGAGGGGTGGGTAATGGGATGAAGAAAGGAACCGGGACGCATTATGTACACGTACTAAGTCCACACAAGGACTAACCCTCATGTACTGCAAGCACATGCTAATAAAGATAGAAAATTGAAGAGCGGAAAGCAAAACTAAACAAGTCTCTGTTCCTCATGGCCAGAGCGCACAATACGGAAGCTTGGGAATGCCTTGTGTGGTGTTGCAGCCACTCATGGGTCGTGGTTTCTCAGCGTCCCAGTCAGGCCCAGTTCATCTGTCCCGCTCTGTTGTGGCCACCCGGACACAAGTCCCAAGAACAGTTTCCAGAGCACACTGTGCAGTCAGTATCCTGCTGAGTTTCGGGAATCCCCCTCAACGTGTGCCTCTGGGTGGGAAGCAGGGAGTCTCCCCCTTTGCTCCTTCCTGCCACTGCCTGGCTCTGCATGTCACTGGGGCGGCCCTGCTCGGTGCAGACCTCGTGTGCCCTTCCTTTGCAGATCTCCGGAGGCCACGCTGCACTCCTGTTGCGCAAGGGCTTTCACCCTGCACCTGCACGGCGAAGCCTGCAGACCAGGAGAGCACAAACGGAGCAGGTGCAGCGGCGTGGGGCAGGAACCCCAGCTGCTCAGAGGCCAAGAGAGTTCGAGGCCAGGCCAGGCTATGTGGTCAGACCCTGCTGCGCGTGTGGTAGGTATAGGCACCAGCTCTCCATGTGGACATCATCATTAGCGCAACGTGCACTAATAATTTAAAAAAAAAAAAAAACATTAAAATGCTTTCTCACAAAAAATAGGAAAGGAAGTAAGGGAAAAAGAAAGGATAAATTTGAGCAATGCCCTTATAGCCCTCCTTAGAGTGCCAGCAGCTGGCAGGAGAGCTGGTTAGAAATGCGGGTTCTGGTTCCCTCAGTCTGGGAGGCTCTAAGACTGCCTGTGCCTGACTCGCTGGGCTTTGCCAACAGCGCCATGAGGGACTGGGCTTGGGCACAGCCTTCGCCCCCCCTCCCCCGCCAGCTCTAGTCTGGACCCTAATCTCCCTCACAGGATTACAGTAAACATCTCCAGACTTATCCCCGACTTTGCATCTAATCCTTGCTCAGAGCGCAGATAGGATTTTCTAAAATGCAAACCCTCCATACTGCCCACTGGCTCAGGCCTTTCTCCTTGGGATAAACCCAAATCTTGGATGAACCCAGCAAGTCCCTGGCAAATGCCTCCCCCATCCTCAACAAAGTCTCAGGATCACCCAAAGAAGCATGAACCAAACACACTCTCTGTTGTACTCCCGGTCCCAACACACTCACTGTGCGTACCTACCTGTAGGTCCAAATGGGAGGCTGAGGCAGGAGAATTTCTTGAGCTCTATAGTTAGACACCAGTGTGAACAGCATAACAAGAGCCTGTCCTTAGGGGAAAAAAAAATCACAGCTTATTTCCATGCCACCCATGCAATGCAGCATAAGGCTCTCAAAATCAGGGCTGTACCCAGGCTTCATTGTGCTCTGGAGATAGCTCAGCAGCATGAGCACCTGCCAGGCAAATGCAAGGTCCTGAGTTTGATCCCTGGTACCAAATAAATAAATAAATGCACATACAATGTATTTATGTAAGTCAGCTCATTTCATTTTTTTTTTTTTAACTTTTTGTTTTTGGTGCTGAGGACCGAACCCAGGGCTTCCAGCTTGCTAGGCGGTAGCTGAGCCAAATCCCCAGCCCCTGTCAGCTCATTTTTTTTTTTGGTCAGCTCATTTCAACAAAAATAAAACACTGAGACACCCCAGGTTGCACACAGCTCAAGCTCCTGCTGTCAGGTACAGTAGGGCCAGGACTCTGCCACTGAGTCACTGTTCTGACTGGGAGGAGAACATTCCCTTATCCGCGAGAAGAACACAATTAAAACACTGCTTCTGCCCAAGAAGGCGTGTACAGTGTGATATATGAATTTATATCCAGAATAAGAAACATTTCAAAAATAAAGAATCAAGGCTCAGGGCCAGGGAGATAGCTTAGTGGCACAAGTGCCTGCCTGGCAAGGGCAAGGTCCCGAGTTTGATCTGTTTAAAAAAAAAAAAATCAAGGCTCAGACAGATGGGGGTGAAAGGCACAGTGTGCTCCGGAGGATGGAGGGAGATCAAGTTTAGGGTTCATGAATACTCCCCAAAGGAAGCTCAGGCCCTAGCTTCATAGAGGCTGGAGGGCCACACTTTTTTTTTTTTTAAGTAGTAGGAATTGAACCCAGTCTTTGCATTAAGCTATATCCCCAGCCCATTTATGTATTTTTCTTTCTTTCTTTCTTTTTTTTTTTGCAAAACTGGGGATTGAACTCAGGCCTTTGCACTTGCCAGGGAAGTGCTTATTCCACTGAGCCATCTCCCTGGCCCCTGTATTTTTCATTTTGGAGGTTTTTTGTTTTGTTTTGTTTTTTTATAGGCTCTTGCTATGTACTTCAGGCTGACCTTTAGCTCACACTGCAGCCCAGGCTGGCCTCCAACTCACAGCAATCCTCCAGCTTTAGCCTTCTGAGTGCTGGGATTACAGGGGTGCGCCACCACACCCAGCCAAAACAATTTTTATTAAAGTGGCTGTGGGAGAAAGTGGCAGAAGATGAGGAACACGTGGTGATTTTATACCCTTACAAAACTTGATAGTTTCCACACCCCTTTGCCGTGAATTACCTTGAACTTCAAATTTGCCTTGTAAAGTCCTTATTTAGAAAAATGGTTCTTACTCTGATTTCACAGACTGAGACTTCAGGAAGTTACTGGGCCAGGTTATGAAGTCCTTCCAAACCTTCCTACCTGTAAGTTACCTGGACACCACTCTGGCTGCCTCAATGATCATGGACCAGCACAGCTAAGTGACCCCCCAAAAGAAAAAGAAACTTCTGAGGTGGTTGTGGCCAGAGAGCTCTCAGTATCCCCAGGATGGGGCCGGCCATGGTGGTGCACACCTTTACTCCTAGCACTCCAGAGGCTGAGGCCCAATTGTCTCGAGTTCGAGACCAGACTGGGCTATAAAGTAAGCTCAAGGCCAGTCTGAACTGCATAGTGAGACCCTGTCTCAAAAGAAAAAAAAAAAAAAATCCCCAGGAAAGATGAGAAACGTCTCAAACTGTCACAGAGCATTTGTCCGGGGAATTTCTTAATGCAAGAATATGCTCATCAAATACATAACCGGAAATCCTCTCTCCTGTTCCCCCACACAGATTGAGGTCGGGGTGAAAATACCCCTGGTCACACTAGCACCCCTTACTTTCAGAACAGAGGCCTCCTGAGAGTGGATGGAGGAGGCTACACCTCACACCTATTTTGCAACTGACCCACTTGTGGGCAACTAAGGACCTCTTTGGATGAATTTCTGGAGCACAAGAGTAAGAAGACATCTCCCCATTTTAGTTCTTATGGTAGCTCAGACTGGCCTTGAAGTTAGGGCGATGCTCTTATCTCTGCCTCCTGAGTGCTAGGATTAGAAGCATACATCATCACACCCAACAGACTTTCCCACTGTCCCTTTTGTTTTCACATTTGTCTCTAGGGGCCCAAGCTTGTCAGCCAGAACTGTGCTGTAATACCACACGTCACCAGCAGATGTCGCAGCCCAACATCCGACAGAGCAACTTTTCAAAATTACTAAGGCGCCAACACGCCGCCTTTGAGCGCCAGCTGTATACTTGTTGGACATTAGACTGGACGCTGCAGGTCAACCGGCATCTGTTTGTTGGTTCATCTGGTGAACGTGTTACCGTGGGGATTAAACTCGAGTGCTTTGAACCGCGACAGAATTGCGGCGTGTCGTTATTAACAGGCAGGGGTGAGAAGGCACAGACTGGGTTGAACTAGCGTTCTCTGGAGCCTCGTCTCCACTCCCGCACGGCCCCACGCCGCAAGTGTAGCAGCGCGAAAGTCCGGGCCCTGGGCTTGCTTCCCGGGGTCCCTGATCTTTTTATGGCCCCTGCCAGTAAGCCGCTACTGTGCACCTGGGGCTAGAATCTGCCTCTCCTCTACTGCGCAAAAGCGTGGTGGTCGTGGGTGGGCGAGGCGGCTCTGTCAGCTGCTGCCTGCAACTTGCACAAGACAGGTTGCCCTGGAGGTCCCGGGGAGGGGCGCAAGAGGTCGCGCTCCAAGAGCCTAAAGTCGGCATGAAGTTCCTCCCTGCCCTTTTGGGCCTGCGCATTTGCCTCCCACCTGTCTGTCCCGGAGCCAGGCCCCGCGCGCCCCTCCCAGCCCCGTGTCCCCCAAGTTTCCCGCGTCTGGCACAGCCGCGAGAAGCGCAGACTTGGCTCTCAGTGCACGAATCGGGCGGGGCGCTCAGGAAACCCGGGCTGCGTGCGTCCCCACGCCACAGGCACCTGCGCGCGAACCTGCGCCCCCAGCGTGCGGCGCCCCCGCTCTGCGCCACGTGCATCTCGGGCCCCACGCTTGGAGGCTGAGCGCGGCGAAGGCGCAGCGGGGCCACGTGCAGGAAGCCGATCGCGGGCAGGCGGCTCCCCGGGCCACGCGCTGAGAGCTCCGGCTCCGGACGCGCACCGCGAGGCG